GGTACAATGCTAGTTTACTATTGGCTATTGCAAATTGAAATAGCCAATAGTAATGTAGCAATGTATTTCAATGGGAATTTTTTTTTCTGTTCTGACATCATTCCGTGTCAGAATAAATAAAAAAAAGAAACGGCAGTGTTTCTCTCCTGGGCGGCCGGGAGTGGGAAGCTCCCAGAGCGCCCGGGAGAGTTTTTTTTTTCTTTTTTTTTTGACGGCAGCAGAGCCGCTGGACAATAGGAAACTATTGGGCGGAGCTAGCTGTCACTGCTAGCTCCGCACAATCATTTTCTATTTACTTTTTTAACAATTTTTACCTCTGAGGGACCGAGCAGAACAGCCGAGCCAAATGCCGCACAGCGGCATTCGGCTATTCACTCACTGCTGTTCGGCATCTATAAGAATCAACTCCTTCTGCACTTCGGGTCGGCCGAACATGCTGAGCATGTTCGGCTGATCCGAAGCCACACGAAGCAAGCCGACGTACGGCTGATTTCAGCCGATGTACGGCGAAATCAGCCGTACCAGCCTGAAGTGAATAGCCGAACAGTGTTCGGCTCACTTCACTTCAGGTCGGTCATTCACTCGGCTGCCTACGGCACCTTAGTGAATAGACCCCTATGTTGCAAATTCATAGTCCTGTCCTCTACACATTATACACTATAAAGTATATTACTTATGTGACCGGAGCCCTTTATACACTATTTTGCATATTACATAGTTCTGACTGCTGCAATGTGTACAATATGTTGTACATTATATGGTCTTGATTCCTGAACTCTGTATGCTTTCATGCAAATCCTATCCTATTAATGCCTCTTCTCGCAATAGAAAAGCCTGCACAAACACAGTTTTATAGTAAATACGCCCGTCTTAGAGATGTTTGTTTACAATGGATCATATGGACAATGTATATTTATGTAGTTCTTACACAAATAAAATAAAAATGAAAGCCATCCTTACCATTTTGTTCTGCGATATTAATAGAGGTCATAGCTATAAGCATTTCACCGGAAGTCCTGATCTCACAAATATAGTCTCCATTGTCACTAACAGTGAGATTGTTTAAGCGCAGACTGTATTCTTCTAGTTTATGTACTCTGTTTTCATAACCATTTGAAATAACAAATGAAGAACGGTTTAGTGATGTCACAGGGAATTCTGTTGTATTTTTCCTTAAATACAACCTAACTGAACTTTCAGCGGTCACAATTTTACAAGAGCTGCATGGACATTTAATACTGTCCTGTTGGGGTGCTGAAAAGAAAGAAAACATCACTTAAAACCTTTTACACTAGTAATAAAAATCTCCACTGAACAAACAATATCAACTGTAGCCCCCCCCCCGACCCCCAAAAGGCATGTGAGGGGCCCCAGAGGTAGGGTGGGCTGACATTTTGCCTCAGGGAGTCCTTAGCTGGTTGTGAGATGTGAATGTAAAGTTTGGTGCCAGTCACTTCAAGGGTTTTCAAAGATTTTATTCCTCTGACAGCTCTCATGGGAGAGATGGGTGAGGGCTACAGATGCCCATGACAGTAATGACTCCAGACTCACTGACTAATTTTTAGCTTTACAGTGCAGAGAGCCTTTAAGTCGAATGTGGCAACACTGTGTATCACAAACCCTTAGCTGGTTAGCAGACTTCTTCTCATGTTTTTCCAGAAGAATCGCCAGGTCCTTCTGAGGATCCGTCCTTCACTCAGCTTCACCTTCCAGCAGAGTCACTCTCCCTGGTTCTCCTTCCTGGGTTAGCTTCCCCCTTCACTTGCAGGAAAGCTTCAGGCTTCGACACTAGTCCTACATCCATGGCCACTGGAAAGCCTGTCCTGGGCATCAGACCTGGCCAGACTACACAACATGCAGCCTCCCCAAGGCACTCAAAAGGTCAGTTCCAAATATTTATGCCCTTCCCCAACATGCTTACTTGGCAATTAACCTCCTAGTGATTGGCCAAGGAGATGTATAGATTCATCAACCCAGAGTTATTGGATTTTCTTTCTCTATTGATATGAAGACACCCCAGCAGCAGCCAGTAGCAAATAATAACACTGGATTTAGGGGAAACCAAATGACTACAGAACTATCAGCTTAGACTGACACAGTCTAGCAGAACTAAATTTAAGCTTAGGGTAAAGTGGCTACACAACATATCACAAAACATTAGATTTAACAAGTCATAACTGCAACCCCCTTTAAAACCCAAGAAAAGGTGGACATGAAATTATTTACTCAACTATCGCCCTTTTTGATTGCTTAGCAAATTATCGATGAGGCATGCTGTATATAAAGCAGTTATTGGCCTATTTAATTTCATGGTCAGCTTCCCTTTACTTATCCACAGACTGGAAACATTTAAACTAAAAGTTTGATTGCAAGTCATGCCTATAATTTGACCTCAACTTTTGTGCAGACATGCTGGAAAAGCAATAAGCAAGCCATCTTGCTTATTTGGAAAGTCCTGTACAGAATGAGTTTAGTTGTGATGTTAGCAACCAACAGAATTTTAACATCTTGGCTTTAGATGCAATTTAAGTTTGTTTTAGCTAGTCTAGCCTTATTCCTCAATACCTAATGTTGTCATGCTTGGTCCTCTCTAACCTGAACTTAGCCTAACAGGAATTCTATAGCCTGATATAAAAAACGAACATGATCCTGAGTGTTATGCCTTATTCTCTGATGGTTAAAGGTAGGGATGCACCGATACTTTGAGTACCAGATACTTGCCATTTTCATGAGAACTACCAAGGTTGCAGCGGTTGCAGCTGGAACCTGGCTCTGGCGCTCCACCGCTGTCCTGAAATCATTAGTCTGTTCTAGAAAAACTGTCACATGGCAAATAAAAATGTATCAGTACTTGTATCTGTAAGTACTTGGGCAATTATCAGTATCCGTACTTGCAAAAATGGTATCGGTGCATCCCTTATATATTTATAAAAACAAAATCGTACATTAAAACAGATGTACAAATCCCAGGAGCTCCGTGTGCTCCTTACAAATCACAGATGCCTCCTAACTTTTGAATTTTTCTCTAGTCTAGTTTTGGAGCTGGAATAGTATTTGTACTTGTACCGAGTACTGTACTTGGTATCCTTGCATCCCTAGTTAAAGGCATTGTTATATGGGTTGGCACTGCCTACCTGTCAGTGAGGATGGAAGCTGCAGGGCTTTCATCCTCATCCTTGCTTCCTTATTTAGTGAATCAGTAACCTGGAGCAAGCATGCAAGCTGGTGACACTGAACTACCTAATTCATTCACAGTAGCAGTTTATTTAGGAATGCAAGGATGACAGCTTGCAATTTTGCCTTCAAAAAGAAGTAGGGAATAGCAGATCTAATAAATGTGCAAGTTGTCAAATTCAGCATTTTATTGGCAATACATACCCTCGATTTGCCACACGCCGGTCCAGGTGCTTTGCACCACAGAGTGTTTTATAATGCATTTGTAAGAGTGTTGTTTTAAATTACAGGAAATACATAAACTTGAGGTGCTGATGCCTTGCTGCTTTATGTGGTTGTCCTCATACCATTCGATAGTGACAATATCAGATGGATAGACGTGACTTGCATAGCATTTCAGCTCATCATGGTCCAGTGTATATTCCATTGAGTGTCCAAAGTCTGTAAAACACATGATAGATGAACATTATGAATAAAGTAGTGACACAATACTACCACTAGATCTCAATCGATTTCCGATTAACCAGTTCAGGACCCCCATGCTACACCCCTTCCTGTCCAGGCCATTTTTCAGTGCTGTGATAGTTTGACCGATAATTACTCGGGCATGCAAAACTGTGTAAAAAATTAATTTATATTTTTACGGCTAGAGCTTTCTTTTGGTGATATTAAAAGACCACTTGGATTTTTTTTTTTTACAATATAAAGAAAAAAATTGAAAATGTTACATTCTCTTATAAAACATATCAAATAAATATTCTTTGTGGTACTGGCTTGCATTGGTTCTGGATGACACTGGTTATGGCTGGCACTGGTGTTAAATGACACTGGTACTGGCTGGTAATGGATTCCGCTGGTACTGGATGATCTTGGTTCTCGATTGCACTGGCACTGGTACTAACTAGCAATCAGGAAGCTCTCACCCCTCTCACAACTAATCGATGTGTGAAAGCAAGGGGAGAGATGGTTGCTCTGTGATGCTGTGATTGGTCACAGCGATAATGTGGTACAGAGACATTTTTATTGGCTCTGTACTTTTTTTGTGATCTGCACCAGTGGCAGAACTACCGCTGGTGTAGCCAGTGCCGCTGCACCGGGGCCTGAGGCTGTGCAGGGGCCCAGTGGGTTCCGGTGGGGCATTGCAGGGTCCCGGTGTTAGAACACCGGGGCCCCGCACTGCCGACGAGCTTCTCAGCAAGGGGTGGGAGGTGGAATAGGTAAAGAATTCAAACGATTTGTCGTCTGTTCAAGGTCAGATCGGCATCGCAAATCGTATGTGCAGGAGAACCGATCTGCCCTGGAACAGCTGTTCTGTCCTGAAATGTCACTTCTATCCGACTTTGTGAGTGCGGTGGAATGTGAGATCGCAGTCGGATAGAAATTATATTTCAGGACCAATCAGCTGTTTCAGGGCAGATCGGTTCTCCTACACATACGATCTGCGATGTCGATCTGCCCTGGAACAGCTGTAAAAGCGCTGGAATGCTTCACCTATAGGCAGTCACACATTTCACCGCAAAAAAAACTGGGCGGGATTACGTTAAAACGTGTGACCACGTCGCCGTTCACACATTCTAAAGTAGTCACAAACTTTGATGGAACACTCCATCAGGGGGGTATGGCCAGTACCCATGTGAGGGGTCTGGGCAGCCTGGGGGGCCTCTTACATGGGTATCAACTGTACCGGGGTGGCAGAGGTGACAGGGGAGGGGGTGGAGGAGGCCGGGCCCCAGCAGCAGCAGGTAAGAAGAGTTGGGAGGATGTACAGGGAAAGGGACCCCGATGACCAGACCAGGCCACCTGGGACCCTGCAGAGCCCAACATTGAGAGTCTCAGGTGGGCTATGCAGGATCTATGGTGTGCTCTGCAGGGTCTCAGGTAAGTCCAGCACGCTACTGCAACATTAGAGACTGCTGGGGAGGGGGGCAGGCGGGGGCCAGTGTGATCCGCTCCCGCCCCCCCCCCCCCCGTCTTGGGAGGGGTGGCCTAAGATAAAATCTTGCACCAGGGCCCTTTGGTTATTAGGTCCACCACTGATCTGCACTGTCTATTGACAGTGCGATCACAGTTACTGTGCTGATGTGTGTGTGCACAGAATATGAACGGGATTTGAAAATAGCTAACTGCCCTGGGAGGTGTGCCATCTAGCTGTGCAATTACAACAGGCAGACGGAGAGTTGTAGAATTTTTCTTTTTATTATTATTTCAATAAACAGATTCAAGTCATGGACAGATTTATCTGTTGGCATCATATAAAAGTTTAATTGTAAATAGGTATTTATTTTGTCAAGCCCAGTCGAATAAGAGCATGTGCACAGCCATTTAGTGTGTTTTTTAACAGAGACCTTTACTAGTTGTGTATTTTTCCCAACTGTCCTGGATCCCTTGGGATTTTCCCACGAATTTTGTCCTGCCTCTTGGTGCTGGGACTCATTCCAACACTCACAGCAGCTCTATGCAAGTACTGTCAGGCAGAGTGATCTACTATACGACTGTTGTTATTTTCATAGTTCCGGTGATCGATCAAAACTACGAACTTATCGAGTTGTTACCTCGTTTCCTCACAACTACAAAGGTTTTTACACAAAACATGTTGTGCACGAGCGCCATCCACGGCATTGCCCTATAGACATAGACCACAGCAATAAAGTAATAAAATGATGTAGGATGACAGTAAGCCAGCGCGTTCTTTATCTCAGGTGCCCCACTCAAGCGGCGGCCATATTGAGTGGGGCACCGGAGATAAAGAACGTGCTGGCTTACTGTCATCCTACATCATTTTATTACTTTATTGCTGCGGTCTAAGTGTATAGGGCAATGCCGTGGATGGCGCTCGTGCACAACATGTTTTGTGTGCAAACCTCGTAGTTCTGAGGAAACCGGAAGTCATGCGGTCCCACAACTCGATAAGTTCGCACTTTCGACACATCACCGGCACAGATGTCATTGGTCAAAGTGGGGGCAGGGACCCAACTGAGCATGCAGTATGTATTTTGGAGGTTATTTTCAGTTGCTTCAGACTATAACATTGCATTAACGAACACTTTCTTGGAATGTAATTGAGGAGCCTCAAAGGAGTAAGACACTTTACAAAGGTTGTGTATTTGTGTGTCTGAGGCACACAAGATTTTGAGTTGCGATATACAGTACATCTCCTTTGCTCATCCTGAATTAAGTTCTGTATTATTTCTTACCTGCAACATGTAATTTCACTTTATCTTCTTTGTTTCCTGTTCTTGTTCCTACATAGCAGGAATAAGTGTTCTCATCACCTTCCTGCAAATCTCTTAGTTGGAGGGAAGCATTTCCTTTGGCCAGCTCACTTAGGATCAATGAAGTTCGTCCCTTATAGCTTTTGTCTTGTTTTTCCAACATGTTCTGACCTTGATAGTAAGGCCCCGTTCACACCTTTCCGTTTTGTTGGGCGTTCAACGCTCTATGAACGCTCTACAAAACGTACAACCATGAAAATCCCATTGTTTTCTATGGGTATGGTTCACACCTTTCCGTATTTCCGCCCGTCTGAACGCCCTACAAAACGGCTGACGCCCAAACAAGTACATGTACTTCTTTGGGCCGTTTTGGAGGGCGTTTTCCATTGGGATACAGCCAAGTAGCCTTCGGAATCGCACGACGGTCGCGCAATTTTTTTTACCGCGAATCTCGGTAAAAAAAAACGAGTGACGGTCGCGCGACAGATGTGCATGCGTAATACGCCTAGGTGTGAACCAAGCCTAAGTGTGCACTATACGCGAGTCATCGTTCACGATTCTCCAGTGAATGACAACCTCCTCCCCAGGATTAAAAGAACATGGTATGGTGAAATTTTTATGTTGCTCACCCCAAACTGCAACTGTAAAGAGAAAAACCCATGAAAAGGTGGTCAATGCTAATAGCGCTACAATGCTAATGCTGTGCTGGACTTGCTCTTGTTTACAAACAGCTGCATTTTGATGGGTCAGCATTCAGTTGGGTGTTAGCAAGGGTGTCCCTAGACTTTTGTATGTCTGAGGGGGAAAGGGGTGCTGGTGGTGCATGGTCCAGGAAGGGGGGCGGTGCTGGGTGCTGGTGTGGGGGTTTGGCTGGGGGGGGGAGGCGGTCGTGCTGGCGATTAGCTCTCTCTACATCCCACCCAGCTCCCTGACGTCACTGGTTGTCAGGAGCTTGGGGGGACACCAGCCAGAGCATCCCACTCAGCTCCTGGCAACCAATGATGTAATTGAGCTGGGCAGGACACCAGCCAGAGTGTCACAGGTTGCTAAGAGCTCTTAGCAATCAGGGAAACTCTGACCAGAAAGGGGGTGGTATGAGCCAAAGAGATGCACAGATGGAATACACACACAAGAGCAGTTTTACCTGATTTGTATTTCTGTCTATCCAGTAATGAGATTTCCCAGACCTGTTATTGGAGGAGGAGAGATGATGTCACATCCCCACCCCCTCCTCTGCTCCTCCAATAACAGAATGCTTTGTATTCTTTGAGAAAAATAAAATGCATTTTGTGAGTATGGGCAAGTATTGAAGAGGGGCATTGCACTGCTCCAGTCACATCCCTTACTCCCCTCAATGCTGCAAGGTAAGATTCTTAGTTTACAGCAACCCTCCACACATAACATCCATCATCTTAATGATAACTTTCAATGCGGTATGTAAATTATCATTTTTTCCCAGAGTTTGTCTTTAAGCTTAAACAATAATTATACTTTTAGAACACATTGAAGGGCTTTTATAAAGTAAAATAATAATAACATTATGTTCACATCAATATAAAATTGCATACAGCAAAGGATTTGTTACAGTGTTTTGATATTTGCTACCCCTGTGCCTGCAGTTCTGGGAAGCCAGCTGACAGTTTTGCAAACATTTGCAACAGATTTTCCACTGTAGTTAAAGTGTAGGAATAGCCAACACTTTTTTTTCTTAGTTTTGAATACTACATTAAAAAAATCTGGTTATATTTTGCTATCGGTATACCATTAGGGCAATTTTCTTTCACTTGTCCCCAGAAACTCAACAGATAGTTAGAGGAAATCTCCCCAACAAAAGGGAACTTATCCTCTTATAGAATTAGATATCATCACCAATATCCCCACTCAAAGATTTCTCCTCAAATCTTGTTCTGGGGACAACTCCAAAATAGGAGTTTCCCCTTACTTTCCTTCTCGATGATAATGGTCACCAGTAACAATAGAGGGCTAAATCTCCCCAGTTGGGACACAAATAGCAATAAAAAAAATTGGCAGAGGGTCTAATTCTTCCCCACTCTATCCAAAACTAAAGAAAAATAGTTTTTTCTTTTCTATGGATAAACTTTAAGATAGATTTTACGTAAAGAACTCCAGGAAGAAGAAAACATAACCCTTGGCTACCCCCGAACTGCTCGTTTTGATCTAAGGTCTAAAATAAAAAAGATATACTCACCTAAACCTCAGTCCTGTCTGGCTGCTAGACCAGTCTCTGCAGCCTCTTCACTCCTCGAACTTGTAGTATTCGGACATTGGCTTGCTTCCGAAAATGACTGCCTGGCATTACATTTAAACAAATACATTAACAGTAATTTTCAACATTGTCCATTTTAAATTCTCATCTATACCTTCTACTTTTAGTTGCACTGGGAATTCTTTAGATTCTTTTGTTGTTGACAAATAACAGGAATATGTCTGTTCATCACTTTTCTGCAGGTTCTTAAGTTGGAGTGAAGCATTTCCATTCTTGATTTGATCTAAGAACAGTGAGGTTCGTCCCACGTAGCTTGGGTCTTGATCGTCAAATACATCTTTGCCTTCATAATAGCTATGCACATTTTTGCCCTCAAAGGTCCAGTGAATCACTTCAATCTCTCCAGGAGTCAAGGAACAAGGCAAAATGATGACTCCATTTAATTCACCTATAACTTGAGGGGTACCTGTCAAACAAAGAATAGTTCAAGATAGGCGTATTCTCACTTGAATATTTACAAAACAATAATATTTTTCCATGTTAATGGGGATGTAGAATATGAAGTATTTGTATGTGTTCCATGTATTTATTGGTTTAGCCCTTGAATACATTCCTTTGTTCTCTATCTTTCTAATTTAGTAGACATTTTAAGTGCCAGAAACAGCAACATGTTAACAATTATGACAGTTTAAGAATGGAGGTCCTTTCTGAGTTTGAGTATTGTAACAGATTAGATTTTGAATATTAACATCTTCATACACTGTCCTAGTCTTATGATTAATAATGAACATTTCCAACAAGTCCACTCATCTGGTTACTCATCAAGGTTCTATTCTGATGCTTCATGCATTTATCCAGTCATCTACATGTGAAACTCGAATAATTAGAATATCGTGCAAAAGTAATTGCAGTAAGTGCTGCAAAAGGGGCCCAAACCAAGTACTGAGTACATATGCATGAATGGATTTCATAGAATGCTGTGTCAGATTGAAGGTCCACTATCTCTTAAAGCTGTAAGTACTTTTGTCCTCTTTCTGGACTTGGCAGGTCCATGGATGTCCTCTGCCCTAACCCCCTCTCCCAGAAGTGTTCAGTAAGATTCAACAAATTCCTTGTTCTGCATCTAAAAAGGGACTGGTGCCCATGTTCACATTGCTTTACTATTGCTGAGGACCACCCTGCCTCATAAGCCATGGGGACGGGGGGTTGCATCATATGTATATGTTTTTTCAGTCATAACGAAATCTCAAATAACTTATATCAAATTTTTCAGATACCACCCAAAATGCCTTATTATATAAAAACATTTGATCTTTTTTGGCTTGGCCACACCATGCATCCTAGAAGGTGGTTTCTCTCTCCTTTGGTCTACCACTATACCACCATGAACTGGTCCTTGATGTTATACTTAAAGGAGAACTATGACATGAGTGCTTTTCACTCACCTCATAGTTCTAAGCCGACCTGTGACAATGAGACTGTCACAGACCTGTGACGGCACAAGTAGTGTGGGTGCACTATCACCTAAGCACCATTTTATAAGGCGACAGTGTAGTGCTGTCGATTATTGGAGTGTATTTATAAAGATGGCATAGTGACACTAGATGCAATGCACACACAAGAGATGGTTTACTGAGGACCTGGTGGAATCCTAAACTGGCCCTGTGGCTGCCCATCCATGGATGTTTTGAACAGATAGTTTGGGAATGAATCGGTGTTCACTGTTTACATATAATCATTGCAAATGCTCCCGAGGAAGCAGAATATTCCACTTCCGCCTTGAGCACATCCCTTCTGAGAATATTTGTGGTATTGAGAGTATATGTTACAATCTAACAAACATTTGGATGTGCACAATAATACTCATACGGGATAAGAATAATAACACATATGACCATGTTTTGTATGGTTTTCATTAAGTATTTATTTTATGGAATCATATTGACTTGTCAAAATAAAGATCAACTGATTTTATATAATAAGGCATTTTGTGTGGGTTGGTACCTGAAAAGTCCAATATGAGTTTTTCGAGATTTGGTTATTAATGATGTTTGTGGATGTGGTACCCCCCAGTATCCCCTCACCGGTATACAATAGGTTATATATTTTCAGTGAGTACATAGTTTGAGTTATTTTATTCAACAAAAAGCATATTCTAATATCCTGTTAACACTGTCACATGCTTGCATTTTTTGGCTATTGCATAAATATGGAGTAATACAGAGATCTGAATATTAGCCTCTACAAAGAGCTTTTAGTGGATCAGTGTTATTCTGTCTCTCCACACAAGGAGTGCATTGCTTTCAGAGTCAACTCCATAAAAGTGCGTAGTGAGAAGGAGCTGTAAAGCACAACTATTGGGAAGCGCTGCAAAGTAGGAAGCAGAGCCTCCTGTTTGCCTCGAGCTGGCACTTCTGGGTGCCTTTATGTTAAGTTATTTTAAGCTTAGGCTCCCCAGGTGCTCTAATATAAGGATATTTTCTAGATCAATGGTTTGAGAGCTGAAGATGAACTTCAGGCAACTAGAAAGATACAAATTAATGCAGCTCTGTATTCATTATTACACAAATACATTTATTTTATAATGCAAGCAGTGTAGATGATATTTACATTTTACTTGATATCAGTTTAAGTTCCTAAATGGCAGAACCTAGAGGGAGAGGAGCATAAAGTCAGTTGTGCTGCAGTGTGCTAACAAGGGACATGCTGATAGGAGGCAAAAGCCAAATTAACGAGCCATAAGCTCAGCATATTTTGTCAATTACATCACCCAGGATACACAGCCTGTTTGTTGCATTCAGCAGTTGTTTGGAGAGACTTATTTGTGATGGGAATAGAGCAGGAAAAGTGGCAGTAGTATCGGCGAGTCGCCATTCATTGTGATTGACGATGGATCTACATCACTGGTCGACATAATTGACTTTGGATTTACAGTACATCGGAGGATGTTTAATGTTCTACTTTTTTTGAATGAGTAACAAAGGTGTACTGTGTACTCCTTACTCATTTACGTATGGGGAGGACCAAATATCAGGGGGCCCCCTTAGCTGAAACAGGGCATCCAGATTCTGATACGTCAGGACCAAACATATGAGCAAGGTGCATTGCCATTGTGTGTGTGTGTGTGTGTGTAACATGCTCACTGTGCCTTCCCTTCCTGCTCTGCCTGGAAACATGCCTGGATAGGGGTCTTGTATGGATTTTATGTTTTGCTTTGCAAGACAATCTTCTCACATTGCACTCCCCTTACAAATGACTGCTCTTTGGCTAGATGCTGAATAATAACAAAATGGGCACTATGTGAACTGTGCAAACTCCACTTGGTCAACAAGTATCAGCGATTAATTGACTGACAAGGCTGGATTTTTACAGATGACTGCTACCATTACCTAGCTGACTGCACAGGGGTGCCAGCACATTCCACCTCTACATTTTTTATTTTTATGCTCCTTTCCTGCTACTGAATTTGTGCCCAACTAAGAAGAATATGGTCACCAATAACCTCTGCATTCATAGTGATGATGTGAAGATGCTTTTAGCACACTTGATGTAACATCATGATGACAAAATTATGGTAATCAGCATCAAATATTTATTCATACTCACTATGAACAAATGAGAAAAGCCAAAAAAGTTGAAGCAATAACACAATTTTCATAGTTGGTGTGTTCACGCTGCCATTCATTCATAATGGAAAGATTGACCTATAAGAAACAAAATAATAATATATAAATAATAATTTAGTACATATACTAAAATAGTAACAATCTATCTCAGTGACCATGTTTTGAGTAAATACTACATTGCAGTGTTTAACGGAGTGCATGTTTCCTAGTTTGCTCTTTTACATTTTTGTTATTGCATTCAATGATGAGATTGCTGGTCACTAGAGGCAGGTAGGTTAGGCTAAAAGTGAGCTCACTGTTTGAGTAAGACAACTCCCTCATAGGCTTGCATTGTAAGAAGGAGTAGTACAGAAGGAACATTAGGTAGCACTGCCCAGTCTGCTTCTAGCTGGTGCGACCTAGTGTAGTGTACCTTGCCCTAAGCAGGGTGACTCCTTAAATACAGTTCTGCTGAACTGTATCCAGTCTAGCCAATTTGATAGTCTGTGCACATTTGATTTTCTTCACTCGGTTATTGTTTGCATCTGTCTGCTGCTAGGTGTAACCTTGCCACACAGCAGAGCATCCAATAATGTGGTATTATGGATATCTGTGTCTCCCTAGCCAAGCACTAGAAGGTTCATGACCTGTGGTGCATGCTGGGGGAGGACATAAGTATTCAGGGATGACCTTGTGAGAGTCTCCTTCCCCCCCGGGGCCTCTTGTCTGGGGGAGGGTGTGTGATGTGTGTGCTGTCTGACCAGGCCTGTAGCCTCAGGGTAGTCAGGTATGGACCTAGTCGGGGTCTATATCTATCCTGGAATGGAGGGCTAGGGAGGAGCTTCATGTGCTGGAGGTGGCACGGACTTGGACCTCAGAGAGAAGTCTGGTGTCTCACCTAGGGAATTCTCTGCTAGATCTGCTAGCCAGCTAAGGCTCTACAATACACGGTGTTACTGCAGCTGTAACCATTTATCCTCTCTCCCATTTTTGTTGCTTATGGAATTACATATTAGAAAATCCTTAAAGTGACTGCCACCCAATGTTACTTTTACATCCCACAAACTGGCTAAGGACTCATCCATGAGGGGAAATGTTAGCCCACCCTGCTTGTGAAGACCCCCATATGCTCCTAGTGGACAAGGGGGCACTACACTGCATATCTGCATGCCTCTATATTAGGTCCATTTTCAGTTTAAAGGACAACTACCTTTAATACCGTACCTTTAATAAAACCACCTCTGAGTGCAGCCTGCCTGGTATAAAGCTTACTTTCCTCTCTGTACCAGCAATCTTCACGGTACAGCCCTGTCCCACACCTCACAGCTCCTACAAGGAAAATGTACTGGCTGGCATCTCTTCTGACTGTGTATGCGCTTGTCAGGAAGCCAGGCTTGGCCCTTGAGCTCAGAATTCTGCATGGCACCTGTGCACTGCCGGGCGCTTCTGCGCAGGTGTGTGCATGTTTGCTTGCGCATCTCACGGCGTGTGTGCTGACGTGCGCATCTCACGGCGTGCATGCTGACGTGCGCATCTGTGTTGCGCTATATCTTAGTGGACTTTTTCAGACACACATAAATTTGCAAGAGAGACGGAGGTTTTGTTTGTTTGTTGATAGAAACTCGGTTCATACAATGGAAATGGCCAACAATACAGCCCAAACTGGTTTTACACAATAGGGTAGCTTATCCTGTATTGATTTGTATCACAATGGGATGGTGATCATGAATAGTCACGCCTAGCCTGGCCAAGACTCAAATCAAATCTTGACTACTGAGGGCAATTTATGGTACAACGCTGCCACCTAGAGGTGGGAAACTGTATTGCATTTTCCTAAAGGTGAAAGGGGCGTAGCTTCCATTGTTTTAGGCAAGTTTCTCTCAATAAAAAGCCAGTAGCTGAAAGGTCATGGGAGGAGTTCACCAGCACAGCACTTCACAAGACCAGGGTTTCACAGGAGGGGAACAGTACAAGGGCGCTTCACAAGACGAGAGGACTTGCTTCAAGACCAGGATACTGCAACGAGAAGCCATTCTTCCTAGGCCAAGTCCTGCTCATCACGGAATTTATTGGAATCTGCAGCCTAAGCTAAGTACATTTTCAGTGTTTCCCCTCCTGTGAAATCATACATGTACTAGAAGATAGTGTAGTGGGTGCATGTGAATGTTTGTAGCAGCCTGTCTTGTTGATGTATTTGTTTGCTTTTCCTGTAACTAAGTTTGTACACACAGCATTTTCACCAAGTAAAGTACTTTTAATGCTACTGGGTCAGTTTCCTTGAAGTTTACTGCAAGAACAGACAACAAATAGAAAATAAAGTTTTGCCAAGCTTTACAGCTGGGCTCATCCTTGAGATAAGCTTGACGTCTCTGGGATTTGTAGTCCAGAGCATTACAGCATCTCACGGCGTGCATGCTGACGTGCGCATGCGCTTGTTGTGGATTTTCATGCTAAACGGGCTATTTAGGGCTGTGACATTCTAACCTCCAGTGCTGACTGGTCTTCAGCTGTTCCCTGTACCTGTAACCTGAACCCAGCAACATGACTCTGATCTCCTAGTGTTTGACCCGGCTTGGCTATCTATTCTGCTGCTCTTCTGGATTTCCCCGACCTGGGCTTGTTTCTGACCACATTCCTGCCTGCTGCTCTGTACTCCTTGTCTACTGTTCTGGTACCTCGCTGCTCGATAGTTACAGATCTGGCTTGTCTTGGACTTCGTTGCTACCGGCACTTGTGCCTCTCCTGTCCTTGTGCACCTGTTCCACCTCCAGGGGTTCTTGGACTTGAGCTGCAAGAGAGACCTTCCTCGTCAACTCAGACTCCTCTAAGCTACATGGTTCTGACAGCACTCCTCGCATGGAGGCCTCAGACATCCTGAAGAGTACAACTCAACCATAGAAGTGAATGGGGTCAGTCATGTTTGCATGGTAGGAAGAGCAACTGGCCAGGACATTTCGTTGCGAAGGCTTTGTGGTGCCCGTCAGGGACGCACAGTGAAAATTACTGATGGTGGTACTTCTGTACTTCTAGCAGAACTCCAGGGAAAATTATTATTAGCCCTTGCAGTGGGGCTACCCCCGCACTGCAAGGGTTGACTACTTGTTTTGGTCTAGGGAGGAAAATAACAAAGAAATCCTGCCTCAGTGCCAGCCAGCTTTTACAGCATTCCCTCCAGCCTGTCTCCTTCCACGCTGCAGCAATGGAATGCCCCCTGGTGGCATAGAACATGATGATTTAGGGCTTTAGACTGCTGCAGTGAAGGGGGAAGCCAGCTCAGAAGATCAGGTGAATATAACTTTTTTTATCTTACTTTCTCTTTTTTAAACACCAAAATCAATATAAAAACCAGTGCAAATTCACACACAAAAAATAGCATATTAAAGTATACTACAGAACATATATCTACACTCTCAGTTATCTACCTAGATTAATAGAATAACAGAAAACAAACAATGAGGGAAAAAAGAAAAAAAAGGTAAAGTTTTGCAGCGACCAACCTCCGTATAGGGAATAGGGATGACACCCCTCACCTGTTCAGCTATACTTATCAGAGGGTCATTGGAGATCATCCTCCTAGTATACCACGGAGTCAAAAGGAAAGATTGCATACGTTTTCGTGTTGTGATTGTAGGTGAGGAATCAATAAATGATTCCCATACATCAAAAAACTATTGAGTTTGTGTATCCTTATTGAGCATTGTCTTGGCCCAAACATTTTAAAATAAAAACATCAACTTGCTCACAAAAAGAGTTAAAGAAGGTGGTTCAGGATGTATCCATTGATGCAAAATCATTTTCTTTCCCACCAAGGATACAATAGACCAGGGCTCAAAATTTCAAGCCCTGAGCTACTAGCCAGGCCTTAAAAGTTACTCGCCACCAGTTGCCCCACCTAACCCTTACCCTGCCCCGGCCTTAACTCCGCCAGGTCAGTGGTGTGACATAGAGTACAGAGATCAGTAACAACGCGGAGTACAGAGGCCAGCGGTGTGATGCACAGTACTAAGGTCAGCAGTACAGAGGTCAGTAATGTAACTCGGAGTGCAGAGGTCAGCAGTGTTAAGCTGTGGCCATACACCTTACAACCATCGCACCACTTTCGTTGTGTGATGGTTGTAAGGTAATAAAAATTTTGTACGATCTGCTGATCTTGGACAGGCAGATCGTACTTGCGAGGGGAGGGCTTGCTGATGATTGTAGCCGAGGGGAGGGCTTGCTGATGATTGTAATGCTTGCGCACACCAGCCCGTGCTGCTTTCGTCTTCTGAGAATGCCATGAACCCGCCGAAAATTGTACGATTTTTGGCAGGTTTTCCAGAGTGCTTGGAAGACGAATGTCGTGCGACCGTACAGTAGATGCGGCCACACGCTGCCCATACACCTGCCGATTATCGTACTTTGGGGGATCACCCGCGATTATCGTAAGATAATCGTCAGGTGCATGGGCACCTTTACACAGAAAAAACAGGGACTTACAGTGCACAGTTGATCTGATTCAGGTGCTCTCTTCCTCTCCTGGTGGGGGTGTTGGGGGGAGGGTCATCAATGCTGCCTCCATGTAACAAGGTGAAGCCTCCAGCAGCGTAGTTGAGCCTCCTTTCAGTTCCCACACTGCAGAAATGTACAGAAGTCAGCAGGATGACGCACAGCACAGAGTTCAGTAATGTAACGCACAGTCCAGAGGTCAGCGGTAAGGAGGTCAGTAATGTAACGCACAGTACAGAGGTCAGTGGTACAGAGGTCAGTAATGTAACGCACAGTACAGAGGTCAGTGGTACAGAGGTCAGTAATGTAACGCACAGTACAGAGGTCAGTAATAAAGCACAGTTCAAAAGTCAGCAGTGTAAGGCAGAAATAATGCACGGCACAGAAGTCGGCGGTGTAAGGCAGAAATAACATACAGCGCAGCGATCACCAAGAACGCACAGCGCAGCAGTCAGCAAGAACGCACAGCGCAGCAGTCAGCAAGAACGCACAGCGCAGCAGTCAGCAAGAACGCACAACGCAGCGGTCAGCAATAGCACACAGTGCATCGGTCAGCGAGAACGCACAGTGCATCGGTCAGCGAGAGAGCACAGTGCAGCGGTCAGCGAGAGCACGCAGCGGTTAGCGAGAGTGCACGGCGTGCACGGCACAGCGGTCAGCAAGAGCGCACGGCGCAGTGGTCAGCGAGAACGCACAGCGCATCGGTCAGCGAGAACGCACGGCGCAGAGGTCAGCAGTTTAAGGCAGAAATAACAGGGACTTACAGTGCACATGGCTGGTGTGCCCTTTTCTTCTCCTGGTGTGTGTGGGGGGGTACAGCGATCTGTCCTGTCCGACGTGAAGCCACCCTTCAGGTCCCGCACTGTCCTGCCATCCAGCCAATCACAGCTCTGCAGTCTTCCTCCCAGCCTATAGCAGCTAACGTGGGCGGAGGAAGACTGCAGATGACGGACAGCCAGCTGAGCTGAACTTTCTCCCGTCTCTTCTCCTCTTCAGCCGTTGCAGCTATAGAGCGGCCGCAGAGGAGAAGAGAAGGAGGAGAGCTGACCGGGTGATCTTTCTCATACTGCCAGCGGCGCCCGCCTCCCCCCCCTCCCCCTGAAGAAATCAATCAGCAGAGTAGGGACCTGAAGTTTTCCATCAGGTCCACCTCTGTTGATTGACAGCTGGCAGTGGGCGGGTGCAATAGGCAGCCTGTTATTGGCTACTGCAATTTAAAAGAGCCAATAGCATGCTGGCTATTGCGGTCAGCTGCTGGAATGAAGATGATCGCAGACGCCGCGGAGTGGTGAGTAGACTGAAGGGGGGAGAGGGGGGGAACTCACAGACTGTCGGAGGGTTCTCCTTACAGGCTGTGATCGGCAATCTGTCCCCACTGACACAGATCGCTACAGCCTGTAGGGAGAAACTGCTGACAGCAGGGAGAACCTCTGTCCCAGCAGATAACTGTGTGATAACTGTCCCGGGCACAGTTATCTGCTGGGACAGGGATTCCATTGCTCTTGCCTTACGCTAGCGCCGGGACTGCTGTCACTGTTAGCGGGGGAGGGCACACGGGGGGGCAAGTGATAACCTAGGGGGGGGGAATTGCCCCCCCCTTGCCCCCCTGTGACGACGCTGACCATTTCTCTATAAGTGGACGCAGTGATTGTGTTCTGTGCTTTATTTACAGTAGAGCTTGTGGAATGTCAGTAATGGATACATTCGAGAAATAATGAGTCCACTTAGAGAGACCACTAGATTGTTTCGCAATTCGCATATTATAAATTTTTTATTTTATTCCCTAGACACAAATGAGCACTTAACCCTTGCAGTACAAGGGTAGCTCCACTGCCAGGGATAATAATAATATTCCCCAGACTTCTTTTTAAGAGTTATCCTTTAGGTATGCAAAGCAGAAAGCAGAGCCTGTGTTTATGGTGAGCAAATATAGCTGCCCCGATGTATGTACATATATACCGTATTTTTCGGTTCATAACACGCACCTGACCATAAGACGCGTGACAGCTGAGACAGGTGACGCTGTGATTACAGT